AGTGTTCCTGCTGCCGGCGGGCTGTGCCCTCTCCCCCCTCCCTGGGGTGCTGGCTGTGTCCGAACAGGAGGATTATTAGAAGGGGGAACGAGAGATTGTTTATAAATTTGCGGAAATGGAGGAATGCAGAGGCCCCAGCTTAGCTTCTTTTGTCCGCAGAAGCACGCCCAAGCGCACGTCATGAGAGCCCTACGTGGAGCCGTGCGGCCGGGGCTGGCGGGGGACGTGGGGGGAGACGGGGCTGCCAACGTCAGCGCTGAGGTCTAACATTGCACTGGGAACCTTCTCCCCATGTTTTTCTCCTTGCCTGTGGCTAAAACGAGCACCTGAAGGAGCGAGGTCTTTTCGGGCTGCCTCCACCACCACCAGGAACCAACCCTGCCGACTACTACCACCAAATGACGCTGATGGCCGGCCACCCAAATCCCTATGGGGACCTTCTGATGCAGAGTGGGGGAGCAGCCAGCACAGCCCACCTCCATGATTACCTCAGTCCCGTCGATGGTGAGTAGTGGTCTATGTCCTCCCCGGCATGGCTGGAATCTTGGGGCAGATAGATGTGGCTGTCCTCCAGGTAGAGGTTGCTATAGGTGGTAACTCTGCCCTGTTGAAACCCATGGGTGCTGTACTATAATTTTTGACTTAAAAGGTCACCTTGTTCCATATATATGTATAAAATATACATAGTTTAAAATATGTGCATTGTGGCCTCTTTGGGAGGATAGCATGGCTGCTGTATGGTTAGATGAGCTGGGCCAGCTACCAGGGCATTGCTGCCATGCCACTGTTTTGGCCATGGGTGACCACAGTGTACCTGGGGGTAAACTCCATCTCTGGCTCTCCATCTCACCCCATGTTTAGCCTGGTTGGTGTCTGGGGCAGAGGCTGGCCATTTCCATGCATAGCTGTGCGGCACGAAGGACCTCTCAGCTTGGTTGGGACCTCTCAGGTCCCCAAGGAGAAAAAATATGTCTACGGGGAGCCATGATGGAGGGGATGTGTTAGTACTTTGTGGGAGAAAAAAATTGCAGGAATGTGGTATTTATGCTGGTATAGGGCATTCTAAACCTAGAAAGTTCTTGCTTCTGCCTAAATGAAGAAAAAAAACCATGTTAGGCACTGCGGTGCTGAATCACCTCTGTGGCCTGACCGCTGCCCTAGTGAGATGGGTAAAGTCTATCTGGAAGCATATGTGAGGTCCAAATGATTATCAGAGCTGTTAGAAATTTCTTTCCTATCACTTTATGGCACATCTTGTAAGAACTGGGGTTGCACAGATATTACAGAGGGCAGTTTGGGGATTATTTCTTGCTGCAAGAAACTTGGCTCAATTTTCAGGTCCTGGTTTCTGTTTCCTGGGCTGCCTTCCGATTTGCCTGTGGACCATTATAATTTTTGGAGTGGAAATCTGCATCGTTTCATTACCGCTTCAAAGTTTCTGCTGTTGAGCTTTCAAGATGAAAGACTTTGTGGTCTTGCTGTTCTGTAACGTGACTGGTTTAGAATGATAAAAGCTGTTCTGGCTTTTCAGTGATGGGGGCTTATAGATATTTCTAACCAAAAAAAAAAAAAAAAACAAACCCCGAACAATTTCTTGTCTGCAGCTGTTGTGGAAGTTTTACCTAAGTAGTCATTTTTGCTGCCAATTCCTAGATTATTTGTGAACCCAGATCCCAGTCAGAAAGGGAGAGCACATGCACCTTGGTACCATCCTGCCTCTGACATGCAAAATATGTACTGGGCTTCTCTGCTACAAAGCAGCTGGTCAGTAAGACCACTCTGTCTTCCCTCCAAAGGGTTAATGTCTGTGGTTATAGCAGATGGGTGCAAACCAGCACTGCCAAATTCTCCTTGGGCTCATGAGCAAGACTCCTTCCTCCTTTCCTCCTTATTAGTCCATCTCTGACCAGCAGCGCCTCAGTAGACTGCCAGATGAACAGCCAGTGAGGGAAGCAAACACAACTGTTTTGATGCTAACGCAGGCTGACTCTCGGCACACCAATATACTTGTCCTCTGGTTTGTTGAAGATCAGTCTATATGAAGTCATCTGAGATACTCTCTTTGGCAGAAGATTCTCGTATTGTTTGCCTTCTGAAAATGGCTCTAGAGTGAAGCATGTATCAAAGGTCCAGGTTTCATGTGGCCAAGCTCATAACCATTATTCACTGCAAAGCCAGGGCTCACCAAGCATTTATTTTGATCTTTTGGTCAAGCTTTGTTGATGAGTAACTGGAAAGCCTTTTCCAGGCCTTCACATGCTCTACATGAGATGAAAACCTTGAAATGTCATGAAGATGTGACAATGAGACACTAGAAGACTACTTTTTTAAGAATGCAGAAAGGAGCAGCAGCCCAGTGCCAGTCTCTGGTCTATGTGTTTAGGTTTATCCATCAGCTGGATTGAAGAGAGAAATGTTCAGTTTCAAGACCGAAACTAGAATGGATGGCTCTGAAATGCTGGCTGAGGAACCAGAGTCTTCCTCTCTTTTTAGAAAGTAATTTCAAAAATTTAAATCAGCAGGACCTAAGTAAATAAATAGTTGAACAGATAATTCAATAAAGCATCTTCTTATGGTGCTTTTCTGAGACAAGAATATCAGTAGCATGAATAAAACCCCAGTGAGTCACCACCTCAGTATCTGTCTGTCAGAGAGCCCTCTTCTTCCCAGAGAGCTCTAGAACATAATAACTTTACAAGAATTAGTTTGCTGAAAATGCAGGTAGCTCCTATTAAAACCACACACAGCACTGTCATACATCTGTGGTAACACTGGCACCTGCAAAAGAAAAAGCAGCAGATAAGCATATATTAAAACTGGCCTATTCAGTGTCACATCACCTCCAAACATCCGCAGGCCCATGGGAGCCCTAGACTGTATGATAGTTCTTCACAGGCATGTACCTGGGCCCTTCTGGTTGATGTAATTGCATTTCTTGGAGAATTTCTCAGTGCCTCCATGTTTGTCAGTGGTTTTTTTCATTCCATCAGTTGTCTAGGGTCAGGAAAAGTAATAGGACATAAAGGTCAGCTGGATTGTTGGTATTGACCATGTGTCAGGACTGCTGAGTGTTTAAATGGTGATTGAGCTAGAGTGCACCAGAGCTGCATCTCTCTTTGGCAGGGTTTTCACTGTGCAGCTAGAAGTACTTATACCACGAAAGCAGACCAAGTTCCGTGCAGCAGACTGCTGGGGTCTTAGCCCAGTTCCAGTGGTGACTAAATAACCCTTCAGTCAGCTTCATGTTTCATTGTGTCATCCAAACAGGGACTCTAAATCCAAGAATGGAGTTTGAATCCAGGTTTAAATCAATTTTCTGGAAAGCCTACACTTTCAAATCAAAAGTCAACTGCTTTCCAATGTCACAACATTGCAAATGGGTCACCTCTGAGACTATACAGGATCTGTTCACCAGATCAAAACTATCTTTTGCATTTCTATTCTAGAAGTGGGTACCACATCATGGATTATTCCAGGTGACGGAGTGATTGCACAAGAGCATCCCTGGGGCAGTAAAGACTGGTGAGCAGCACAGATGAACCTAGATATGACTACAACTTTCTGAGCATGTGCAGTATATCCAACTTTCTTTTATTCCTAAGCACAAGTGCTCCTGTGATTACCCACAGCCCTTCAGGAGGTGCCTTTTGCTCTCAAGAAGAGTGTTTCCAAGGTGACTTGATGCTTGTTCTGTTACAGCCCTGTACAACAGAAGATGTCAGAGTACTGTACAAAGCAAAGCTGCTTCATCACTGGAGACTCCAAAGAGAAAGACAAAATGATCAGTGAGCAGAGCAGTGGCAGCTGTAGGAACAAGATCCAGATCTTCAGAATGAGACTCTCATGGCCAAAGTGGGAAGTAGAGATTGTCTTTAAATCCATCACTTCTGTTTGCACAGTGTCGAAAGTGTGATTGGGTTGCCTGTGCTGAATCAGACAATGGGGGAAAAATGTCTTAAGTTCAACTTAGGTCCAAGCAGCACTGCACAGAGGTGGTCACTCAGGTCAGGAGGGCTGTATAGATGTGTTTGTGCAACCTTACAGTTACCAACAGCAGGGATGAACCTTCAGTGCTGTCATGGCATTTCATCCAGTTCAGGAGCTAGAGGGAGAGACCCTGACCTGTTTCTTCCTGCCTGGGACATAACACTCACAAATGTCTTGACTTACAACCATCGGTTTAACTGGGAAAAGGTTTTGTTCAGCCCAGCATAGCCAACAAGCCAGTGGCTGGCACAATTGCCTGGGACATGGGCAAATCATCAAGCAGGACTTTTATTTCCCCAAATCAGTCATTCAGCGTCAATGGCCTCTTTCAGTCAGTGTTGTTGGAGCCTTTCTACTTCAAGTAAATGATTTAATAGCCATCAGCTTAAGGAGCAGGGCTGGCAGTGCAGCCCAGTGGTTACTACAGTCACCAGGCATGTGTCTGAGAGGTGAGCTCAGGACTCTTCTCTTGCAGGTTTATGTGAAATGATTGATCCACCAGGATAGATGGGAGAGAGCCCAGCCTCACGGTGACCTAGGAAAAAAGTGCCTCACCTGGGCCTTGAGGGACCAGCAGCTGAGGGGTTGCAGGCTGGATATGCTGGATCACAAATGACTTCCCAAACAAGCCAGCTGTTGGCTACTCTGGGCAGATGGCACACCCTGTAGTCACTTCCTTAAAAATTCTGAAATGTCTTTTTTTGCTTTGTTTTTTTTTGTTCTGTTTTGTTTTCTTTGTCCCAGCACAGAATGGAAACATGCTGAAATCTCAGGAAAGTTTCAGAGAATGAGAAACAATTTCCCACCCATTTCTAGCCAGCAATGCTGTTTTCCTCTCCAGAAAAATATGTGGAGAAGAGAGAAAAAGTCCCAGAGCATCCCATAAGTGCTCTGTCTGGAATTCTGCTGCACTCTGGTTTCTAAAGAATTCAATTTACATATGCAAGTTGGGTCATCTAAACAGTTACCTTGTGGATTGGGAGTAGAAGAATGCAGCCTTGTCTTTCAGCAAGGATTTGAGGGAAACATTAGTATTCCTTGAATTGCAAAGTTGATAGGCCCAGGGAGGGAAGAAAAAAGGGTCCCAGGGCAACATCTGATGCCAGTACAAACGTCCAGCATCTGCTGCAGTCTAAGTAAGAGGTGTGTTGCTTCTGTAGAAGGGGAGAAGGGAATAAGGAACTGGTTATGTGAAGAGTGTTTGTAGTTTATTGTTGCTGCTTATTGATAAAAGGATCACCCTGTGGTTTTATGGTGACCTTGGAATCTGATGACTGGAGAAGGGGAATATTTGTATGTTTTGAGTGGAGTTTTCTTGGTGAGTGGTCAGGAAGAGGGGCCGTTTTGGTAACACTATATTTATTCCAGGGCTTGGCTAGGGGATCCAGGGGACATTTTTCAGTGAGAAGGAGGGGGCAAGCCATCTGCAGCCCACGTGCCTTACAGGCTTGGCCTTTGGAATCAATTTCCCCTGATGTCCTTCTGCAGTCAAGATGATGGCAATGCAACTTGTCCAT